GCTGGGGAATTGGGGGAAGGGGAACAGACAAGTTGCTGTCGTTTTGTTCTTCAGTCTAGTTGTGGAGGACTTTGCTTCACTGGCCCAAGTTGGCACATCATTGCGCTCTTTCCGGGTTAGGCAGATCAGTCGCCGGCTTCTGGACAGTCGCTCACTGCAGCCATACACACAGTAGCCCATGGCAACCCACTGCAGCAGGGGCTGCAGCCTATGCCTTGGCCAGCGATTCACAGCAGCCCAGCTCCAGGTTGAACTGTTGTTCAGCATGTTAGCTGTAGAGGGCAGTGTCACTGGCCCTCATATGTGGGATCTGAACCGGGGCCTCTGGCGTCCCAAGCCAGTATTTAACCATCGCGCCACTCGGCCGGCCCTATTTTGCCTGATTTTTAACCAAGTGTTCTTTCCTCTTACTGTGTCCCCATTTCTCTCCCTTGCCTCCCTTCCCCAGCCCCAGATGTCCTAAATCCTAGTGACATCCTGGTCTCTCAAGAGCCCCACAAACTCCATCCCCATCAACACACTACATACTAATGTCCAGATTTTTCCTCTTCCCTCGTCCTGGTCAAAATTTGGTCCTGTGACCGCCTCCCTCTGGCTGTCAGCCTCCATTTGAAAATCAATAACTTGACCCAGTTACCTTGCCGCAAGGTACAGTTTCATTTGTCAACTCTATCAGTGGTTGGTAGTCTTGTTTGGTACTGCTACAAGGGTCCTTAGAAATGAATGCATCCATGAATGCCTTCCTTATCTTTTGGCAGTCTTTATGCCTATGAGATAAAACATGGAAAATAAAATAAAACAAGAATAATTAGATTTCAAACATATTTTTGAAGCATAATTACCCCCAAAAATATCTCATGTAGGAAGCATTTACTGAGTCACAAGTAGTTCACACACATCATCTCGTTTAAACTCCACAACACTTTTATGGGTGATCGTTACCCTCCCTGCCCTACAAGGTCCTTTTCCTCGTGGAGCTTGCTCTCTGGTTAGAGAGATGGCAGTACTCAGAAAAGCAAATAAGTTAACAAAATAAGTATAGAAGATTATAAGTATGCAGGAAATCAATGGGGAGGGAAGACAGCAGAATGCTGAAGCAATCACCACTTTAGGGAGGTGCCAGGAGAGGTCTCCCTGACAGGCCACTTAAGCTGAGACTGAACAATAAGGAATGCCTTCCAGACAGAGGGTACTTCAAGTGCAAAGGCCCTGAGGCAGGAAAGAACTTGCTGAGAACAACAGAGTAACAGCAGTGTAAAGGAAGAAGTGGGAGCGTGGTGAGAAATCAAGTCAGAAAAACAATCAAGAGGCAGATCACTTAGGCCTTTTGGACCAAGGAAAAGATTGCAAATTTTTCTCTAATTACAGTGGGAAGCCATTGGATGATTTTAAGCATGGAAGTGACCTCATCTGATTATTGTTTTAGAAAAATCACTTTGGAAAACTCTGATCAGGCCCCAGAAAAGGAGATAGTCTTTGAAATAGGAATTCCAACTCCAGGTCCCCTCCAAACAGCCCCTGTCAGTGGGAAAGCAGGCAGGCCAGGAAGAACCGATCAGGAGAGTGCTGGAGTAGACAGCAGGTGGAACTTCCCTTTGTGTGTTTGTGTTAACAAATGCGCATATGCCACCATTTCCTTGGGTCAGAGAAGTGGGTTTCCACTGGGAGAGCTCAGTTGTCAATAGCAGGGCAAACTCCAGCCTTTGCAGAGGGATCCTAGGTGCAGTGCCAGGTCAGGCAGTTTGACCTAGAGACGTACAGACAAGACCCCTATTTTCTATTCCCTTCTGAAGAGTATAAGCAAAGTAGCTCATTCCAGAGTGGTGTCTCCCTTCCCAAACTCAGACCTGCCTCCCTCCATAAGCCAAGGAATCAGAGAGTATTAGCATGGCACAGGTCCTTTCACAGAAGCCGCCCTGCCCACCTGCTCTTTTGGGGGCTGGAAATAGGGGAAGCCCTTTTGTTCAGGTCAGGGATGAAGGCCCTTGAGGTGGGCTGCCTGTGTGAACTCTGGCTCTGTCAGTTATGCTGTGTGTCCTTGGGTAAGTCACTCAACCTATCTCTGCCTCTGTTGCCTCATCTATAAAGCATCCCATATGGATATTCTGGAATTAAACATGTTAAATCTTTCTGAAACAATACCCAGCAAAGATTAGGGGCTCAGTCAACATCAGCATTATATTTCCCTCCTTTTTTTGTGTGTCTTTGCTAAGATCTTGTAGGCTATGAGCAGTTATGCCCAGCCAACAGAGGTGGGCGTGGCCCATGCCTCATGGGATAACCTGGGAACTCATTGGCTAACACGGGCTATCCTCACAGGGCCCTGGGAGACAGTCAGTATGTCCCACTAATGGGATGGTGAGAACGCACAGCTGCTCGGGGTCAGATCTAGGTCACAAACCCAGCCTGGAGGGTGACACCCCTGCTGCTCCCCTTGTCTACAGGCAATATGAGTTTCTCCTTGTTCACAATTTTGGAAGGGCACACATGCTCACCTTAGTGAGAATCAGCCTAGAAAATATAACAGCTTTGATATAAAACAGCCACAGGGCAAAATTCCAAATCATTCCCTCAAGTTGGGTGGGCTAGAGTAACAATAATTGTAACAACAACAGTAATAATATTAACAACAACAAGTAGCATTTATTGAGGGCTAAATTTTTGTTTCACATGCATATCTCATTTAACCTCGTAACACTTCTATAAGCAAGTATATCAGGATTTGATTTACACTAGGAAGACTTAAAATTACAGGGACTAAAACAGGATAGAATTGAATTTCCCACGGATCCATCATTCTGGAGGCCAGTATCTGGGCCTGGTATGACATTCCACATGTCAGAGACCCATGTGCTCAGTTCCAAAATGGCTGCCCCAGCTCCAGCCATCATGACTACATTGCAGTCTGCAGGAAAGATTAGGAAAAAGAAAATGAAAAGGAAGAAGAAGGAAAGGAGAAAAAAGGAGCAACAGCAAAAGGCTGCCTTTTAATGTTGGGCGCTAAGAGATGTTCTCACTATTTGCTCTTATCTCATTTGCTAAAATGCAGTCACATGGCCACCCTTAACTGCAAGGGAAGATGAGAAATGCAATCTTTATGTCTTTATGGCCATTGCTTCTCCCAAGAGTGGCATCTTATCTGTCTCCCAGGCTTCATTCAACAAGATAACACACTCTTCAGAACACCCGGTTGCTGTAACTTTACCATAAAAGGAAGACCTCATATGCTACTGCTTTCAGAGAGTCCTTCCTGACTCTGCCCTACCAGGTGGTCATGCTCATTTCTGAATCCCTGTGGCACTGTGCTGGCACTTGGCTCATAGCAGTTCATATATTTTCTTGTTTGATAGGTACCTGAGTACATCTGACTCACCCCACAGAATCTAGGAAAGGGCTAACAACAGCACAGAAGCCCCGCTCCCTCGGGGACCCCTCTCATCTGTGTACAAACCTATTTGCTGTCACAGACCATGCTGTCCTGCAGTTCTCTGCTTCCAGGCCAGTCCTCCCCCACCTCCCCTGCAGGACTCTGAAGAGCAGGACTTGTGTTTTCTCCCTCTCTGAACGCCCCCATGCCTAGCGTCAGCACCAGGCACCCAGTAACTCTTTACTAACATTTACGTATAGTTTACATTTTGTACTAATGAATTTTACTGAGTTAGAAGTTAGGAAAATGCTAAAGTCATTATAATGGAAGGCATAGTAAAGTGAAAATGAAGAACTGGTTTGAAAAAAATCTTCTTAGAAATTTTAAAGAGGAAAAAGAAAGGAAAAGAAATTGTAAATGAAGTTAAAGGAATCAGAAAAGACAGTGTGGGCAGAGAAATGGTCGTCAGAAGACAGGGTAAGACTGATGAAAACTTTTCTCTGATGAAGTGTCTCACTATAAGTTTGAAGCAACATGATGTGGTTTTGAACTCAACTGTGCAAGCACCTATTAAGAGACTACAATGTGATCTTATTTAGATTAAGAGAGCAATATGCCAGACAAAAGGGGACACAGAGGTGAATAAATCAGTCCCTGCCCTCCAGGACCTTAGGTTTTCTTGGGGGAGGGATGAAGAGAAGTGTCATAGAAGGGCCTGCTCCCGACCCTGGACAGCCAGCAGCTATCATGGGTGCCTGCAATTCATGGGGAGGGCTGGTTGACCCTCAAAGTGAGAAAATTCATGAAAAGGAAGCCACACCATCTGGGTGTCTCCCTAGAGGCCCACCTTACTCTAGGTGCTGCCTCTCCGTTTCTTCCTGCAGACTCTGCCCACTGAATGAATGAAGGCCCTGGGTCCTGACTAAGTCCTCGTTCTCCCTCAATATCAACATCCCCCAAGGTCAGTGCTCACAATTCGCTAGCACTTTAGTAGCTCTTGGCCACGTGTCTCTGGGGCTGCATATGCTCAGGGCCATCTTGGACAAAAGGTAGTTCCTGTGTGTGAATGTTAAGATGGGGTAGCCAGGTGTGATCTGTCCAGGAGTTTTCTGCATGTAATGCTCCTGTTTCAATTCAAAAATGGCCCTGCTTGATAACCAGAGACAAGTTTCAATACTAAAAGACTGGCAGAATGTGAGTTCTGTGGGATTAAGAGATTTGGAAAAGGAAAACCAAGGGAAAGGAACAGGCATAGAAGATAAAGTTCTATGACCTACAAAGAAATACCAAGAAGCTATTAACACAAAAGGAAAAATAATCCAAATGCCCAAACAAGACACTGATACATTTTGGGAGTGATAGTATTGCAAAGTTCATTGAGGAGTTATATTAATATGGCTTTGTTTATTTCTATTATTTACAATATACTAGCTTGTTACCATTCCTTTAATTCAACTAAATATTTCTGCTTATTACGTTCCAGGCACTATTTTAGGTCCTCAAGGTGTATCACAATACAAAAAGTCCCTAGACTCAAGGAGCTTAAATTCTAGGAGGCATATATTAGATTTTTTTTTCATGTTTAAATCTAGTTAATAAAAGGAAACAAAGTAGAAATAGCAACAGATGTTAACAGAAAAAAAAATATGAGGAGGAAATTAAAATAAGAAAACAAGCAAAACGATATCTGAAGGGTTAAAGCTGTCCACAACTCTTTTGATGCCCCTTCCATTGAGGGTGGTTCTTGTTTTCATGCCTTTTCAATCAGGGCTGAATTGGTGACTATGTTAACCAATAGAATGAGGTGGAAGGGATGCTGGGCCAGTTAGGGGTCTAAACCTATAAGAAGGCTAGCATTTTGTAAGTACAACATTTTGTAAGTACAGCATTTTGTAAGTACAGCATTTTGTAAGTAAGTACAACATTTTGAAATTTCCAGCCAAGAAAATCCCCCAGATGACCACAGCACCAGCTGATATCACATGAAACAGACCATCCAGCTGATCCCATTCAACCCACAAAATCATGAAAGATAATAAATCGTTGCTGTTTTAAGTCACTACATTTCCAGGTAGCTAATAATGCAACAATGGACAACCACAACAGGAAGTGGCAGCTGGAAGTGAGGTGCTGTGTAACAGAATCCTAAAATACGTGTAGGTTGGTTCATTTTATGTGTCAACTTGGTTAGATCATCTTATCCATGTGTTATTATTTGGTCAAATGTATCTGGATATTGCTGTGAAGGTATTTTTTAATTGAGAGTAACATTTAAATCAGTATGCTTTGAGTAAAACGGATTACTCTCCATAATGCAGATGGGCCTCACTCAATCAGCTGAAGGCCTTAGGAAAAGGACTGTCATCCCCGGAAGAAAAAAGGAATTCTGCAAACAAACTGCCTTCAGAATCAAGCTGCAACATGAGCTCTTCCCTGGGTCTCCAGCCTGCTTGCCTCCCTGCAGATTTTGGACTCATCAGCTGCCACAATCACATGATTCAATTCCTTGAAATCCTTCTCTCTGTCTTTCTCTCTCTCTTTCTCGCTCTCATTCTCGCTCTCGCTCTCACTGTCATTCTGGAGACCCTACTATTAGTGTGAAGTTAGCACTGGGGAACAGGTGTCAGTAACTAAGGTCTTAAGGACCCTGTTCATGAAGGCTGGATGGATACAGAGGAAATTGTTATTGGAGGCTATGAAAAAGGTGACCCACGTTATATAATGGTTGACAGTTTAGTAACACTGCCACCTGCACTAATGGAGCTAATAGAAATAGACCAAACAACTTATAAATTCGGCTAAGGTCAATTCCAGGCAGAATATTGGAAGTGCCATGTCATTCCTTTTAGCTGTGTACGATAAGATACAGAAACAAAGAAAAAAAAATGAGCTAAAAAAAAAAAAACGAAGAAGAAGAACTATTCATGTTTAAGTAGAATCAACACTAAATGTTTCCAAGTCAGGTATTGCTAAGTTTGAAAATAAAAGTGTTCGTCATTCCCAATCTTTCCTGGCAAAAGAATGTCCAAGTAAGAAATGGCCTCAAGGCGATGATCACATCCAGGGTACTGAAAGTAAAACATGTTCATAGAGTCAAGGTTTTAGGGGTGTGGCTGTGAGGCACTAAGACGTCATGGGGAAAGAGAGAGACCCAGCCTTTCTGGCATCCCAGGTGACACCAGCCTTTCAGCTGACCCCTCCAAGGCGTCATTCATGTGAGTGATACCTGATCTATTTTGGATATTCCAGCTTAGTTGAGGGCCTAGATGACTTCAGCCTCAGTCATCATCACAAGAAACAGAAGAACCGACTAGCTAAGCCCAATAAATCCACAGAATCATGTATAACAATAAAATGATTTCTGTTTTATGCCACTAAGTTTTGGGGTGGTTTATTGTGGTACTGATAAGCAAGCTATTAATTATAGATCATTTGAAACTGAAGAATAATAAGGAAAGGAACCTACAAACATTCCATTATTAACCCAGCAGTGCCATATTTTACTGTCTTTTTCCTTTACATTCAGTTTTACTGTACATAGTTATAATTATTATATCATAATTTTTATGCTGGTTTTGTTTTCCTTGGTATTATATGCCATATCACATATTTATATGTCAATATCTAGTTTTAAAAAGACCTGCAGAGGCAAACAGAACTGGATCAAAGCAGAAGTACCAGGTTAAATAATCGACATCAATTGCTGCTTTCACCCAATATAAAAGAACAAGTCAAGAGACAGTAACCTGGCAACAGATGGATGTGAGAAGAGGACCACAGAAACAATTTCAGAATTCCTCAGAGGAAAGATTGTTGATGTTAAGAGGGTGTGACTACAAGGAAAATAGTCTGTGAAAGCCAAACTTTCAACAACATAGAAAGAAGGAGGGAATTATTAATCAGTTATGACCTTGAGATTAAAGTCTCTGGGGAGCCAACAGAAATTAGATGCAATGCATGGACAGCTGGCAGAGAGAAAGAAAACACCACATATATAATGTACATACAATATATAAAGAATTCCCATAAAAAGAAATAACAAGCAACCAAGCAGAAATTAGCAAGGATCTGAACAGGAAATTCACAGAACAAAATTTAAATGATCAATAAATGTATAGAACATGCTAAGACTCGCTGATAACCAGGGAACAATTAGAGGTTATTTTTCTCATAAAGAGTTGATACTATTCAGCAATGAAGGGATTGTGGAAAAGCATGCCCTCTGACGGAGGGTGATGGGAGTATAAAATTGTGCAGTTATTTTGGAAAGAATTTAGAAACACATAAAATTTAAAATACGCATAACTCTCCCTTTGATCCAGCAATGCCACCACTACTAATCTACCCTACAGAAATACGTGTACACAAAACTATCTGTACAAGGACGGTCATTGAGGCACGTCTCTCCTAACAGGGATGACAGCTTCATGAGAACGGGAACTTTGTCATCATGCCTGTATTCTCAGTATCTAAATCATGGCCTGGGACATAGTAGATGCTCAGCAAGTGTTTGTTGAATGAATGAATGGGACTGAAAATTGGAAATTAATTTTCTGTCACTAGAAAATATTTACATCTACCCTATAGAATACTATGAACTGTTAAAAAAAAATGAGGTAAATCTATATGTAATGACATTGGAAAATCTCCAAGACCAGGTGTTAAGTTAAAAAAAAAGAATAATATTAAAAAATTAAAAACAACATGGGTCAGCCAAGTGGCACATTGGTTAAGAGTTGGCTTGGGATGCCAGCTCTGAGCAGCAGAGCTCCGGTTCGGGTCCCACATGAGGGCCAGTTGACGCTGTGCCCTCAACAGCTCAACCTGGAGCTGGGCTTGTGTGAGTCGCCAGCGACGGCTGTAGGCTGCTGTCCCTGCTGCAATGGGCTGCCATAAGCTACTGTGAGTGGCCGGCAGCCAGCATGAGCAACTGGCAGCCAGCGTGAGCGGCCGTCCAGGGGCCGGCGACCAATCTGCCTCACCCGGGAAGAATGCAATCACAATACCAACATGGGCCACTGAAGCAATGTCCTCCACAACTAGACTGAAGAACAAAAGGACAGCAACTTGTCTGTTCCCTTTCCCCAATTCCCCAACACTGTTCCTCTACCCCAATTCCCCAATAAAACCTTTAAAAAAATTAAAAAGAACATAAATTCTATCATTAGAGGACTGATTTACTGGATTGTGATTTAAATAAAATGAATACTAGGCACCCATTTTGATGTTGGCCTTCGTCTACCTGTATTACTGTGGAAATGTGTCAGTGATATTGCACTTCCAAAAAAAATACTATTTTCAGCACTTAGTATAACCAGGATTGTTCTTCTTAACCCTTATACTCTCCGCATGTGACATTATCATGCCATTTTACAGTTAAGAACACTGCAGCACAGAGAAAGTAAGTAAACACCCAAAGTTTCATTGTAACAAAATCAAGATTTAAACACAAGCAGTTTGGTTCCATAGTTTGTGCTCTAAACCACACAAGGATAAAGTGACTGTATGTTCTGGTTTAAGCCTATTGACAGCATAATTATTAATAGCATCTTCTTTCTTTTCAAAAGGTCTCCAGACATCGTCAATAAATTTCAGAGTCACTCTACCTGTGTTCAGAACATGCACAGACAGTACAGCATGGTGGCTGGGTTCAGTCTGTGGAGCCAATTTTCAGCAATGTACTCAAACTCTCGACTTAGTTTGCTCATATGGAAAATGGGATAGCAATAGCCAGTGCCTTGTATGGTTGTTAAGGGACTAAAAGTTTTGATATTTTTAAGTGCCTGGCACCTACTAAGTACCATGTTAATTACTCACAATTTATATAAATAGTGTGCGTGTACATGTGACATATCTGGATGTTCAAAAAATATTAACGGAAGCTATCCCCTGTTAACATTTTAACTACGTGTACATGCACACATATGCATATGTTGAGCATAGGTATATATACATATGTATACAAACCTGTGTGCTTAATGCTGAGCAGGCGCCCTGACAACCACTAAAAAGTCCTGTGGTTTCTATGGTGTATCTGCTTGCTGTATTGGTGTGCTTATCAAACAAAGAGTGTGACCTTACCAAAGATGTCTGTACAGCAAATATTTAAAACTGTTAAATTACAGTGAAATAAAACAATTACTTTTATCTGTACTAATTCAGATAGGATATCACTTGATGTAATTGGTACTAAGTGCAACCACCTGAAGGAACGCCTTCACTTCTAGTTTCTCTGTCAACTAACTTGTCAATTATTTGTGAGAAAACTTAAGGGATCCTGGCAATCTTGGACTTGAGCGATTTGCCAGGAAAACCTCTGATATCTGCGTTAGGCCACAAACACTTGAGGGCTGAGGCGTCTCTGTGATCCTTGCCCAGGACTGCAGGGGCATGGCGGCCGAATTGTGCAACCTGAACCCACCACAGGAAATCGCGGCTCCCCCTGGGGCCTCAGGCAGCCTGTGAAGTAGGTTTTTACTTCCCAGCGTGTTCTACTTGGTGTAAACTTCAAAATGAGCTCTCCGGGTGAAATGAAACCCTGGGAACAGCAGTCAAGAAAGGGGTTCACTGTGGGGAGACATGAGTAGCTAGCTGGGAGGGGGCACCAGGAACCTTCTGGGAAGGCCCCGTAGCCTGATGTGGGTGGTGCTTCCAGGGTCTGTACAGGTTCATCGAGCTGATGCACCTTTCCATACAAGCTGTATCTCAGTTTCTAAAGTTGTTATTGTTTCGTTTTGTCAATGAGTTCTCAGGTCATTGGTGTCACCAATCGGGGAGCTGTTTTCTATGAATAAATGAAACTCATTTCAGGGTCTGGCCCTTCTGGCACCATCCTGCCACCACAGGTTCCAGAAGCCACTTCAGCAGGTGTCATCTGTAACCACCCAGGCATTTTCGGGTCAGAGACAGCAGAAGGAAACCCCATGCAAAGTAGAAAATGCCACCAACGCCTACGCAATCCCTCTCCGCCCACCCACCCCGAGACCAGCGCCTGCAGTTATTTCGGTCACTGCAGTGGGGCTGTGAGCGCAGAGGTGGGCTGCAGCCCGGCTGCCCGGGCTCGGGGCACCTTGCCCTAAGGTCTGGCATTTCTGCCAAGTGTTCTTAGCTGAACGGGCCAGGCCATCGAGCCGTACGTTCCCGTCCGCGCACACAGTGCCACCGCCAGGACCTCCTGCGAGAGTCAGGTGGAATCCTAAGCCGGGCACTCTGGCCTCAGCACTGCCCCGCGGGCTCTCATTTGACCGGGAACAGAAGATGCTTTGTTTCCGGCAATCCAGACAGCTCCTCCGCCTGCGGTGCCCTGCTGTGCCCCGCCGCGCCCCTGGCCGCCAGCAGTAACCACCACGCGGTGCCCCAGCCCTGCGCCACAGACGCCAACTCACCTCAGCTCAAGCTGTCGGATTTCAGTGAATGCGTAGCATCTTCCCAGGATGATCTCGGGAAAATAGGGAGTGGTGCCCTTCCCGTCCCACTCCTTGTGCTTGGGCTTCGGCCTCCCCAACAGGACACCGACCACCACCACGATGATTGTCACGAGCAGGACACACAGGACGACCAGACAGATCTTGGCTTTCTTGGAGAGGTTGCAGCAGGGTTCCTCCCCCGACACCAGGCTAAATCTGTGGTTGGGCACTGGGTCTACTTCAGGGTCGGTCCTGCGAAATCGGAGGAGACAGGCTTGAGGCTGCGCAGGAAAGGTGGAGAGAACTGCCACTACGGGATTCCGCAACCTCCCCCTCTGTCTTCCACTTGTCTTTTCACAGCCTTCTTTCCCACCCCACCCCCTCCCTCAAAGTTCCCTGGCTGGCTGGACCAATACAAATTTAAAGGACTTAAAAGACTTCAACAGTAGTGCAGAAGCAGCCACCTTAACCTTACTCTGCAGATTCCTAAATAACACACAGTATATCCTTGAACCGTTATGATGTCCTTTGTCAGCTTTGTACTTAGCCACATTGCTTCCTGGAAAATAGAAAGGCTGGCTACCTGCCTCTGTACCTGTGTACAAGCAAAGCCTTTCGCCTGCAAAGGGATGCTCTGCCTCTGTTGCCTTACAGCTACCTCCACGACTGCCCCTCAGCACTAACCCCTGACCTAACGGGGTCCTGAGGAAGTGTCTCGGAATGCTGAGACCCGATGGAATGATATCGGTCATCTCCCTTATTTGAATAGGACGCGGCAGAATGGCGCTGTCCTGGGGGTTGTGTAGGATGTGTGAAGGCATCGTACATGTTGGAGTACATTGGGAGCTGGTTAATGGAAAACAGCCTTAAGGCATGTGACACACGGGTCTTTGAGTAATTCAGTTTCACTTCCTTGAAATTTTCTCAATAAAAGCATACGAAGACCCGATTCGGGGCTCAGCCCAGTCCTCCAGGCTGACGCCCCTTGGTCTCGCTATTATCTGACTTTTTCCTCTTGTGTACTTATTCAATCTGCGTTGCCCTTGCCACGCAGGACGTGACATGCCTCTACTACTTAGCCTTGACAAATACCTGCTCAGCCCCCTTTTAAGACTCCACCCCTTCTCTCAAGTGGCATCATGGCTAAGCTCTGAGTTCAAACCCAGCTCCACACCCACTGACTGGGCCATGTGGGGTAAGTTACCTGACATCGCTGTACTTCAGATATAAAGCGGAGACAATAGTAGCACCTACTTTATGAGGTTGTTATGAGGATTAAGTGAATTCATACTTACCACCTGTTCAGCATAATGCCTGGCACATGGTAAGCACTCAGTAAACATCAGCTATCCCTACCTGCTCCGTGAGCATGTGGAGGGGATGCAATTCTATCATCCACAGGTTGTGCTTAGAAAAGTGCCTGCCATGCAGTAAACACTCCGAGTGGTGGCTCAGTACATAACCCAGCGGCTTTTCCAGACATCCCCTGCCTCTCCCCTCTCAAGGTTCTTAGCACTGGGAATCCCAGACACAGGGGGTGTGGGTAGGAGTCAGCCTCCTCCCCTAGGGAAAGGCAGGGAACATGGCTTTAGGGGGTGGAAGGTTAGTATATTTGCTGACAGTGACATGTGGGCATTCTCTTCTGATTGCTGCTCAATGAATGAGAAGGTCACCTACTGAGAGTGGGTGGGGTGCTGGGGGAGCTGCAGGATGCTGGGAGAGTGGATGGAGTGGGAACAGCAAAAATAGGCAGAGTTGGATTTGATGGGGTTGGGGTTTGCCTGTGTATTGGTTTGCCAGGGCTGCCATGATAAAGCAACAGAAATTATATTCTCACAGTCCTGGAGGCTTGAAGTCTGAGATCCAGATGTCGGTGGGGTTGATTTTTCTGGAGACCCCTCTTTGCTTATAGATAGCTGCATTCTTGCTGTGTCCTTACATGGACTTTCCCTTGCGTGTCCACACATCTGTGTTGAAATTTTGTCCTTTTATAATGACACCAGTTATATCAGATTAGGGCCCACCCTAATGACCTCAGTGTAACTTAATTGCCTCTTTAGAGGTTCCTTCTCCAAATCCAGTCACATTCTGAGGTCCTGGGGATTAGGGCTTCGACATATGAATTTGGGGGAGGGGACACCATGCAGCCTATGACATCAAGTAAGAGAAAGGCAAGGGAGTTGAAAGTTTAAACAAAGATGGGATTTTAATAATGGAATATAGCACCTCAGTCTCACAGAAACTTAAGTGAGGACTAAAGGAGGGTGAGAGACAGTGACAGATGAGGGACCCCATGGCTGAGAGGTCCTGAAGGGGACAAGAGTTGATAGAGGGAGGATTATAACTACTTGCAGATTACTCCATCCAAAGCTGAACTGTTCATCTTTCTCCTTCAAACCAGATCTTTCTCTGATCTTTCAAATTGCAATAAAAAAAATCCCCATCCTCCAGTTGCTCAACCTGGAAACTTCCAAGTCTTTGGCCCTTCCTTCTTTCTCTTCTCACACATCCACCCAGAAGTTGGTTCCTTCTGCCTGAAAAGCATTTATTCATCTCCTCTGCCACCAGCTAGTCCAAGAGAAAGCCTACCCTCTTGCTCACCTAGGAAGAGCTTCCCAACCATTCTCCCCAAATCCCTTCTCCTCAACCTCTGCCATCCATTTTCTCCACCACAGCCTGGGTGGTGGCTTCCTTTTAACCCGCATTTTGTAAAGATGTAACTTTTGAAACTTAATGCTGATGCCTCACCCCTCCACTAGCTCTAAACACAGCAAGCAAGCATACAAGCCCCCCAACCCCTCCTCCAGCCTCCACGGGCACCTCTCTCGCCAACCCCCCATGGCACCCCAGTCCTGAGGGCCTTCTCTCTGTCCCCAGCCAGACCAAGCTCTTCCCTGGTGATGGGCTATTCTCCCTCCCCACTGTCCACCAACTCCGAAGGATCTTTCGGGTTCCCTTCACTGCAACTTCCTCGGGAAGCCTTTCTTTACCCCACATAGCTCCCAAACTGCTTAGGTCTCCAAGCTTGACAATTTCTAGCTTAATATCACAGATGCCAGATCTCCTGGGATAATACAAATCTCAAAGGCTCTGGTCTGGATCACCTAGCCCAGAAACACATCCCCTGAGAATGTCTTCAAGGTTCCTTTCCCAACTAGACCAGGACTTTGCTCAGGGCTAGGTTGGCAGGAACTGAAGTGTATTCTCTTAGCATCCCAGAACTCAAGTTGGTGTGCACAAATGCTTGTTGAACAAGTAAATGAATGAGTGACTGATCAGAGTCTAATTTCTGGCACCCCCTGTTCCAAGCTTTCCAAACTGGATTCATAGGGTTGTGCTCACAATCCCAGATCTAAATAAAATAATATGGAAAATGGGATGAGAAATGGCTTTTCCTTGGGGTTCATTTCCCTGATCTCTGACTTTGCTGTGTTCCCTGCATTCCTCCACTCCTTTTGTCCTCAGCCTGAACTTATTTTATATTGAGTAATGTGCAAGGTCCAAAATCAGTTACTGGGTAACAAATCTTGCCACCTGCTCCTTATTGAACTGAGCCATCTGATAGTAATAGTTTTCTGGTGTGTCTAATAAAACATTTAAGACCTGCCACAAACACAAACCATTTAAAAACCATGGTTGTTTGATAATAAATATAATAAAAACACATGGAGTAAAAGTCAAATAGAACTAAGTGAATATGTAGATCCTTATTATTCTTCCTCCTGTTCTCAACTCCCCTCTTACCATGTTAATGAACAGGCAGCATGTCTCTCTGTTTATATATACATATAAACATATAAACACATCAACACAGAGATTAGCCTTCACTGACTTGCAAAAATTATAGCATATTGCATATCCTATTGTTCCTTAAGCTTTCTTGTGATAATGATATAGGATAAGAAGTTTTTATTAGCACATGTTGCTCAATCTAATTCTTTTAAATGACCCCTGGTATCCCTTTGAATATAAATACCATGATTGATTTAACTAGACCCATATCAATGGGCACTTAGGTTTTCATCTCCGTTGTTACCACATTATCTAGTGGAATAAATATTGCTATGTAAGCATATCTTTTCACAAACCAAGCACATACACTCCTAAAAATAGATGTCCTGGGCACAAACTTTTAAAATTTTGCAAGATACAATCGAAGAGCTTGCACCAATTGACACATCCACACACACTTTCAGATTTGTTTTGTCTTAATTTCTGGTTATGAATCAGCAGTGACTTGGGGGTACTTCAGATTTTAGTCTCTCCTCCTGTTTGGTATAACAAAGACCTGAGAAAATCATATCTCAAAGGAACTTCTGCTCTGACGAAGTCACTTGGTTGGTGAACCCTCTCATTCTGTGGTCTTTCTCCAAGTAAGGTGTTCATCCACAGATGTCAAGCATCCTGGTATGCCCTGGCAAAGAAGATTACAAATGTACACAAAAGTAGCTACCCTCCCTGCACACCCTTTGGTTATGGCAGGATTTGGGGAGAAAGTACATGTTTTAATTTGTTTTCTGATCTGTCAAATGGATACAGTATAGTGTTTCCTCAACAGGTTAAAGAGAAGGTTAATTTCGGGATAATATTCAGACCTAGGATAGGATAGGCACTCAACAATGGTAATATTATTATTGCAGACATATTTGCACATAGTTAAAATGCACTGAGGCTCAAAACAAAAGGCATATTTGGGCATTTATTCATTTAACATATATTAAGGACCCACCACATGCCAGGCACCATGGTAGCTGCTGAGGACACAAAATTAAACTGGCCTTGAGGAAGCCCTGTGTAGAGCAGTTAAGAATGCAGGATTTCTGGTCAGGTAAACTTGAGTGGACTCTGCCACTTGGGCAAAAAACAAAACTTCTCTGAATGTCAAGTACCTTTTCTGTAGAGTAGGCTTAAAAATGTCTGTGGGCATCATTGAACTATTTTGAGGACTGAATCAAGTAACATACGTAGAGTACTTAGTTGAGCATTTGACCCTTGGCTAGTATTCAACAAATAAGCACCAATATTGGGATAGCTGCCTATGCACAGGAGAGATCACAGTACGTCAGAGTGGATTTCAGGAAGTGACACTAGGTATGGCTGTTGATGGAAAAGCACAGCTTGTAAAAAGGCGAGGAAAGCATTTAAACGGAACTATAGGGAAGACTATAGGGTGAATGTTGGGGCACCTGGGGCATCAGAGTAGTGACTTCCTCCCAGCCACACAGTCAGTTAGTATAAATACTGGTCCTAAA